CTAGACAAATAGAACAGATCAACCAAATTCAAGACAATTTAAAACAAAAATTAGAAATTTTAGAACAATTAATAAGATCTTGATTTATGAGTATCGATAAAAAAGCTAACATAGACTATCAGATTATTTTAAAACAAGCAGAAGACTTTCATAATAACTCAGAGGGAATTATTAGCTATCAAGGAATAAATCAGTCAGATAAAATATCAGTAAGACAAAATAATATAGAAATTTTATTTCTTATCCGGTTGTGTGAAAAATTTGGAGAATTATCAGAACAACTACATAGTTTAGAAAATCGTTTAGCTTCGTTAGAAAGATTAATACTTTTAAAAGGAAAAATGAGTAAAAGGACAAGCAAGTAAACCTCAAATCTCGAATAAACGAAGGAGATATAACTAAATATTTCAAAAAGCTTAAATTATCAAAAAAGCTTGTTTGTAGAACTTATAGAAAATAAAAATGTTTAAACAGTTAGTAAAAGGAAATAGCAGTAAAAAGTGTAATGAGGATGAAGATGTTAAAGTAGAAGAATTTATAGATGTGGAACAACAAATAGAAAATTTTAGGGTTAATTACACTAATAGTCCCTATAATAGTTTGGGCCTTATGTCACTTTGGTCCCTGACTTTTCAATTGTGACACATTTGACTCTGAATTTTGAATCATGTTTCAAATAAGGACAATTGAAAATATCATTAGATTTTTCAAGGGTAAAATCGTCAATTTGATAAAATATAAACTAATTTGACAAAAATAAATGTCAAAAAAGTATTTTTAATTTTTTTTAAATTATTTTTACCCACCAATGATAAAATTATGTAAAATTAATAAAAATTACATGATTAATTTTTTAAAATTAATTTTACATGATCATCATCCAAACACATAATAAAAATTAATTTGGTAAAAAAAATAAATAAATGTCTAAAAGATTTATCAATTATACATAATTTTATTTTTAGTAGGTAGAAATAATTTTTAAAAATTCAAAAATATTTGTTGACATTTATTTTTGTCAAATTAGTTTATATTTTATCAAATTGACAATTTTACCCTTGAAAAATCTAATTATATATTCAATTGTCCTTATTTGGAACAAGATTCAAAATTCAGGGTCAAATGTGTCACAATTGAAAAGTCAGGGACCAAAGTAACACAAGTCCCAAACTATAGGAACTATTTGTGTAATTTGCCCAAAATTTTAAAAAGAAAAGCTAGAGTTAATCCCAACTAAATATGTATATTTGCCAGGAAAAATTCATAAAAAACAATATTTATTTAAACACTATGGTCAACAAATGATTACTGTAACTCAAAAAGATGAAAAAATATAGCTAAATTTAATAAATAGAGAAAATTTTAAATATGCTGTAAATGAACACCTTAAAATGACTCACTTATGATTAGTTGTGATAGGAGTTAAGGCTTTAACTAGAGAAAATTTAGGAGCTAATGTTTTTGTATGTCTTTATGATGATAGATTCAATGATGTAGGACAAAGTATTTTAGGTAGCTATGAATTAGATATGAATTCAAAAGGAGGAATAGTTTATTTTATACCAGATTTCCTTTTACCAACCTCAACCTTTCATAAAAAGATAAAAATAAGAATAAAAAGTAGAGGATATAAAATGAAAAAATGATAAAATAATTTATTAGTTTGCACAGGATTTTTAGGCTTAGCAATCTCATGAAGCAATACCCATTATAGACTCACAAATGATCAAATAGCTAAGATATCAGGAGCAAAATGAATAAAGGCACTACCAGCTAAAAAATATAATTCGGAAGATAATGCAGCACTAGATTGGAATTTAGAAGATTTTCTAAGACAAAAGAGGTTAGCCCCACAAGATAATTTATTATATCAAAAAGCAGATGGAAGTTATGCAGTAAGATTTACTCAATACACCTATGTAGCATCAGAAAAGTCCAAAGATGATGAATTTAGTAGTATAGATAAGGAAGAAAGTCAAGATAATCATAGTGACATAAATCAGTTTTATGTAATGACAGAAGAAAAACAATATCACAAAAAAAGATATATAATATTGATGAGATAGATTTGAAAAATTTCCCCTAAGTGATATAAATAAAATATTAGATACTAGATACTATGAATATATAGCTAGAGGAGATACCTATGATGAAACAGGGTCATTTTTTGATCAAGAATTTTATACTAAATATGTAGATGATATTTTAGAAGACAAAATATATCCTAGTAAAATATTTAAAATACCTGAACAGTCTAACTTAGAAGACACTTTTTATATGAACACTCAAACAACAGAAAGAATAGGAACTAGCAACCCACAACATATAGTAGCAGATCCAGTAGAACCAATGCATTATGAAGTAGGAGGAAGAAGACCATTAACCAATACAGGACATAGTAAAGCAGATTCGAATAAAAATGTATAGGTTTCATGGAAAGCGTAGACAACCAGATATGAGTATAAAATTACAGCCAGCAACCAACCAAGGAACTCTTTTAGACTGAGCTAGATTCGACCTACAGATATGGTAAGAAATGATAGAAAAATGGGAAAAAGACGCGGTAAAGGCATGGATAAATAATCCCTTTGAATCAAGTGATATGCGGGAATATATGGAAACACTTTTAGGAGATTCAACTTTTAATATATATTTAACTTTTAAAGGAAAATATGATGAGACAATTAGACAGCTTAAAGGACTAGGAGATAACCTATGGAATTTTACTAGTTTTATAAAAGAAATGCTCATAGGATACGACCCATTCTAGAATAAATGAGTATACTTAGAGTATAGCATTAACCGAGTTGGATTAGATAACATTAGGAGTTGAAAATATGTTGTACATTTTAGCAAAGAATATTTAGTTATAGCAGCTAGAACTGAAAAAAGTTTTGATGAAGAAATAGGAAATAAATATTTTAGGAAATTACCAGGAGAATTAGGAAGAGAGATAAAAAATAAATGGACAATTTATTATGCCAACCTACCAGCAAGAATAGCATCATGAAAAGTAAGCATAAGAGGAACTTTAGGAATAGGACCCAGAATAGTTTTCACATTTTGAAAGCTTAGAGAAAAATGTATAAAAGTTAAAATACAGAAAGATTTGAAAAAAAAAAATTATGGTTTTTGTAGTAGCATAACTCAGCAATATGAAAATAAATATAATAGGAAAAAATATAAAAAATATGGAAAATACAGAAAAGAAAAATATTGGAAGAAAAAATATAGAAAACCATGGAAAAAAAACAAAAATTCATTAGAAAAAGTAGAACTTTTAATAAGATAAATTATAAGTGACTACCTAAAGAAGAGAAAGATAAAAGAAAACAAAGATATGTTAGAAAACCTAATAGTAAAATATGCAATTGTTTTATATGTGGAGAACCCAATCATTTTGCAAAAAACTGTCTCAAAAGATAGAGGTCTAATACTAATAAACAGATAGAAAGACTACATATTATAGAAGATTTAGAAGAAGATATAGTTAGCATAAATAGTGATGATTCAGAAATCTATAGCATAGTCAGTGATTATGAATATCAAATAGAAGTCATAAGTTCTGATAGTGATTCAGAAAGTGAAATAGATATGGGTAATCTTTTAGGACAACTTAACCAAAAAATAGAAATACCCCATTCCCATGATAATTTCTTTATGATGGAATGCAATGTAGATACTGAATACCAGCATAATTTTCAAATAGGACTAGGATTTGATACTACTAGATGCAATTATTGTAATTGGTTTCCCGCTAAAAATAAGAGAGCTCAATGTTTATTATGCAGTATAACCTATTGTATAGTTTGTCTAGAAAAATTAAATATGACACACAAAATAACATTAGAAAGTAACGATGAGATACAAGAAGATCATAGTATAGAAAATAAAGAATTACACCTAACTATTAGAAAATTAGAAATACAAGTAAGAGAACTTAAACTACAAATACACGAGCTAAAAACTAAGGCTAATTTTGACATAAAATGTTTAGAATCAAAAAATAAACAGGTTAAACAGCAGATAGAACAATTTCATACTAAATACCCTTTAAAAGATAAACTTGTTGAAGAACATATGCACCCCTTGGAATTAGTCAACCTAGTTAATTCTTAACCCTTTAGTCAATACTCCCAAGCATAGTCCGATAACGCATACTTACCATTTAATTACCCAGTCATACCCAAGCCAAATTTAGTTGAGATCTTTTGTGTAATCAAATTTGCAGAAAAAACTCTTAGTATAGATGCCATGATAGATACTAGAGTCAGTAAATCATATATTGAACAACATATAGTTCCCCCAAGATGAAGTACAGCTTTAACAACCCCAGTTTTAGCCAATATAGTCGATGGCACTAAACAGACATATACACATTGCATCAATGGAGCACAAATTAATTTTCATCACATAAGCTCTCAAACTCAACATATAAAGTGTTCCCTTTACCCCAAGTTTGGATTGAGAATACTCGACAAAACAATCCTTTTATATTGGGACTTAATTTTATACTTAGTCTACAGGGTGACATGTTTATCATTCGTTTCTTCAAAGGAACCGTACATACACCTACAACATATACCCTCAGCACCATTGCCCATTCCTTAGAGTTGCGTGTGACTCTCCAATTCATAGTGAATTGGAGTCTATTATTGGGCCTGTGGAGTTCATTAAGTGGTCTGTTTCGATAATTCAAGCCGTATGATGTATAGAACTCATTGAGTATTCCATATCTATAAAAAATCATATTAATCGGATATCGATAGCCTATTATCGAAACACATTTTTATTAATGGTAAATTTTGATTTTAAAAATAAATTATTAATAAAAATATGTTATGACCAAATAGTTAATGATATCCAATCAATATTATTTTTTACGAACATAAAACACTCAATAAATGTCACATATTCAACGATTCACATTATCAAAAACAAAATCGGTGATAAATTTCACAAACTTAATATATTGTCCAATTTATACGGTAGAATGGAGGGAAGCCTCTCCTTACAAATCACTAAAAATATACAAAGCCTTTCACCAAAAACATTTCAACGCTCATCCCAACTCTCTCCTTCTCTCTCTAGATTTCATCTCTGATTCATCGATAATGGAGATAGTACCAATTTTCCCCAAACTAGCTATTATCTTCCTCTTCGCTGCTTGTTTGAGCGTGCATTCGATTCAAGCCACCGACATCAAATACTGCAGTGAGTTCACTTCCCCCGCTTTTCGGTTTTGTTCCCGAGAAATCGGAGCAGGATTTAGTGAGAAAACAGTTTTCCACATCTCTTATTCTCTATTTGTTTATGGATTCTGAAATTTTGATTAATTTTATTGCCTTGATGGGTCTAATTTACATGTACTGATTTGATTGAGGCTTAATCGGCGATTACCTAGTTTTGATACACGTATAGTTAATAATTGTTTTCAAGAGGTAGTTTCTTTTCTTCATAACGTTTTCAATACTAAAAAGTTTTGATTTGTTTCTTTTCCTATATTTTCTCGGTCACCAAACAGATACTGGAAATTCATTGGATCTATTGAGCACTATTTGATTGTTGTAATGCAGAGAGTTGGTTTGGGCGTTGACTTATTTGTTGCTGTGAGAATAAGTGTATTTTATATGCACGTATATACACATGCATTAGTGGATTCTATACATGCACATACACATAGTTATATTTGTACATGTATTGTATATGTTTACTGAACAGTTCGATGGATCTGCGACTGATTTCTTCTAGGGTTTTTCAAATGAGTGCAGATGAGAAGTTTTGAAGCCCCTTATGTTTCCATATATTTTCTCGGCCACCAAACATACTACAATGTCGATTGCTTATCATTGAGTATGATTTGGTTATGTTTTGTTGACTTTAACCAATTATTTTTGTTGGTCAACAAAATTAATGTATGCGTTTGGTTTGAGTTTTTTTGGATAAAGTTTTTGAAAATTGAGTATTTTGTTTTTTGTGCTTTTTTTGTTTTTAGTGAATATTTTTAAAATTTTAAGTATTTTTTTTTAAAACTTTTTTAGATGCACCTTACTTAGATGTATCTAAAAAATAAAAAAATTGTGAAAAAATATTTTTAAAAATTAATAAATACATAAAAATACGACAAATATATTGAATTCTAGTATTTTTTATTTTTATTTTTATTTATTTATTTTTTTGTAATTTTGGTATTTAGTGAATTTTTTAAAAAAAATTCACGAAAAGTATACTTTTTATGTATATTTATGTTAAGTGTGTCTAAAAATTAAAAAAATTCAGTAAAAACAAAAAAATACGGAAACAAGAAAGTAGAATTTATGAAAAGTGTATTTGGAAAACCAAAATCAAGCAAAGTGAATTTTTTTTTTTTTTTTGAACAAATGAATCCTCTCTCCTGCTCTTTTTATTTTATTTTATTTATTTATTTTTGTTGTTATTGATTGAGCAAAAATGGTTCAAATAAGTTGGAAAAAAAAGTTAATTATCTGGAACATGGCAGAGGGATGCTTTAAGATTTTGCTTTCTGATTATTAGTTTTTAATTTACAATATGATGAATCAAATATGCAGGGACTAGGTTTTGGATTTATTGGCTACTAACCTTTTGTTTTCCGTTAATTGTTGCATTATAAGAAGCACAGACACAACACAGACACATAAATTTTCAAAAAATGCAGGACATGGCACATTGGGGATACGTTCAAAACATATATTTTTATTATATGCATGTTTTTAAATATTTAATATGTATTTCATGTCAAATATTTAATTTTATCAAATTTATCAACCTTAGGTATGCTATTTTATTAAAAAAATTAAAAGTTTTAATTTTTTTTTAAAATAATAGCATTCAGTGTGCCCCTAGCGTGTCCTCAACGTGTCCCTTGCTTGTCCTCAATGTGTCCCAGCGTGTCCAACTCTATCTCGCGTGTCCGACATGTGTCCGACGCTTGTTCATGTCTAACATGTGTCGGACACCCGTACGCGACCTCCAAAGAGGTGTCCGTGCTTCATAGGTTGCATTATATACATATTTTTTTCATTTATGGCTAATATTCGATATAAAAATACGGTTCGATGAAATGCGACTAATATTTTCTGGGATTTTTTTATACAAGTGCAGATAAGAAAACTAATTATGTTGTTAAGGTCGATGATGTCGAGATATCTCCTTATCCTGTGTCCACCGGGGAGCCTACCACCTTCACCATCAAGGCTTCTACTGGTAATTCTTAACTTCCTCTCTCTCTCTATGGTTGGATAGTTGTAGAGTGTTATGTGATTTGCATATTAAATATGACCTTAATAAATATGACTTAGTATTCCATTATATCACTTTGATTTTCACATTTCCTTTTTAGTTTACATCAAAGTTAACAGTGTCATTGACAATATCATATTTTGCTCCTTAAATTCATTTTACTTAAATTCATCAAAGTATATTGTTTGTTTATTATCTAGTCTCACATTTAAGTCCAATTGGAAAACATAAGCAAAAATACATGAACAACTGACTCTAGAAGTCTTAAAAACAAACTATATGTAAAGTGCTTAATAACCAAAACCAAACCAAGCCTTAAGTCCCATCAAATGGGTTGGCTGCATGAATCCTTCTTTGCCACTTGACTCTGTTCGAGGTAATTTTGTTAGTCAAATTAAGAAGATTCATGTCTCTATTTACTACACTAGTCCACGTCAATCTAGGTCTACCCCTTCCTCTAACACTACAATCTACCGTTACTGTATCGCATCTCTTCACTACTGCCTCTGTTGATCTCCCTTGTATATGGCCAAACCATCTCAATCTATTTTCTCTCAACTTATCTTCTATTGGTATTATTTCTACCCATTCTCTAATGTACTCATTCCTAACTATGTCTTTTCTAGTCTTGTCACACATTTACCTTAGCATCCTTATCTCAGCAGCACTCATCTTATCTACATGTTGTTTCTTAGTTGCCCAGCATTCCGTCTCATACAACATCGCTGGTTTAATAGCCGTTCTATAGAACTTCTCTTTTAGTCTAATGGGTACTTGTTTGTCGCACAATACTCCAGATGCACTCTTCCACTTAAGCCACCTTGCCTTAATTCTGTGGACTACATCTGCTCCAATCTTCTCAGTAGTTGTGAGAATCGATCCTAAATAACGAAAATGTTCACTCTTAGGTAGTTTTTGGTTCTCAATCTTCACTTCTCCTCTGCTTTCATTTCTATTGTTACTAAATTTACACTCCATATATTTTGTCTTAATTTTGTTTATCCGAAATGTTTTATATTTAAGTGTTTCTCTCCAAATCTTACTCCTCTAATCTCATCCACTAACACGATATCATTTGCAAAAAGCATACACCATGGCACATCATCCTAAATATTTCTCGTCAACTCATCCATAACTAAAACAAAAAGGTAAGGACTTAAGGTAGATTCTCGATGTAACCCTACAATAATTAGAAATTCTTCTGTCTCTCCAACATGCAATCTAATAGTGATCAGCACCCTTTCATACATGTCCCTAATTACATCAATGAACTAGTCTCATCCACTAATATGATGTCATCTGTAAAAACCATACACTATAGTACATCATCTTGAATATTGCGTGTCAACTCATCCATGACTAAAGTGAAAAGATAAGAACTTAACGTTGATCCTTGGCATAATCCTATAGAAATTAAAAATCACCACAACCTCATACATATCCCTAATCACAGCAATGTAACCTTTTGTCATCCCTTTCTTCTCTTACACCTACCAGATTATATCCCGATGCACTCTATCATATGCTTTCTCAAGATCGATGAAAATCATATAACCACATGAATGTCTTTTTTCTTTTCTCTATATTTTTCTATTACTCTCCTCAAAAAATAGATCGCTTTCATTGTTGACCTACTAGGCATAAATCCAAATTGATTCTCTGGCACCTTTGTTATATCTTGTAATCAACGTTCCATCACTCTCTCCCGCACTTTCATTGTGTGACATATTAACTTGATTCCTCTATAGGTGTTACAATTCTGGACATTTCCTTTATTCTTATATTTTGGTACTAAAATACTCTTCCTCCACTCCTTTGGTATTTTCCTAGTCATCAAAATCTTGTTAAAATAGCCTAGTCAACCAAACAACCCCCTTCTTATCCAAATATTTTCACGCTTCAATAGGTATATCATCTGGTCCCAAAGCCTTATTCAATTTCATCTTCTTAAGTGCAAACTCCACTCCAAAGTCCCTAATCCTACGATAAAACTTGTAGTCCTGGTTTTCGTTATTACTACTTACTCCCTCCCCTTTTGACCTACTTCCATGTTCCTTATTTACAACTTTTCAAAATAGTTCTTCCACCTCCCCTTAATTTCTTCATCCTTCACCAACACCTTAGAGTCCTCAACCTTGATGCATTTAACCTGATTAAAATCTCTTGTTTTTCTCTCTCTTATTTTAACAAATTTGTATATCCTCTTTTCTCCCTTCGTACTATCTAGTCTAGTGTATAGGTCATCATAGGCTTTCAACTTAGTGTCCTTTACTACTTTTTTGACCTCCTTATTGGCCAATTTGTAGCGCTTAAGGTTTTTTTCAGTTCTATCATTCTGTCACTTTTTAAAGCTCTATTTTTTCATCTTTATTATCGCTTGGACCTCCTCCCTTCACCACCAAGTTTCCCTAAAGTTGGTTCCCTAAAATTGGGTTCCTTTCCTTTTGACTCTCCAAGAACTTCCCCTGAGATTCTTCTCATACAATTGGCCATCGAGTTTCACATAGTGTTAGCATCATCTTCCAAGTCCCAAATACCTTATTTATCTATTCTATTCTTAAACGTATCTAGTTTATCCCCTTTTAGGTCCCACCATCTAGTCCTGCGACGCCCACTATCTTTTCAAGTTTAGTATTGCCTTTTAAAGTAGAAATCTAGTACCAAAATCTTATGTTGAGATGTCAAGCTCTCTTCAGGAATCGCCTTACAATCGCTGCATTTTGGACGGTCCCCTTTTTTTACTAGAAAGTAATCTATTTGACTCCTAATTGACCTACTCTTAAAGGTTATCAAATGCTCCTCTCTCTTCTTACCTTGTTTAAGAACAGGCTTTTTTAGTAGCTTTTTGTCTTTTTGGCTAAAATATGATGTAAAAAAAACTAATATGTTTGGGATGACTTTTTTATTTTTTACGACAAAATGTGTAAAAAGTAGAGAGAAAATGAAATCTTTGACTTTTTGGTATAGGTTGTTGGCTTATTATTTTTTTTAGTGACTTTTTGGCTTTTAGGCTAAAAAGTGATGTTGCCAAACGAGGCTACTAGTATTGGCCACCACTAGATCAGAAGCTAACGAAAATTTAAAATATTCTCTTCAGTCTCATTTCTATCACCAAAACTATACCCACCATGTACCCTTTCATACCCTACTTTGTCTACTTCTACAAGGCCATTGAAATCACCACCTATAACAGGGTTATCTCCTGTAATAACTCATCCATTTGGTCCCAAAAAACTCTCTTAGTCTGATCATCTAATTCTACTTAGGGGCTGTATGCACTAATAACGTTCACTATATTCTCTCCAATAACTAGTTTAACTAACATAATCCTATCACATTTCTTAATGACCGCAACTACATTTTCTACAAGATTCTTGGCAACTATTATTCATACCTCATTCTTGTATCTATTCTTGCCACTATAATATAGTTTAAAATCAGTATCCTCTATTTTTTGAGCTTTTTCACCCATCCACTTAGTTTTTTGTACGCAAGCTATACTAACTCTCCTCCTAATCATGACATCTACTAATTCCATAGTCTTACCAGTTAAAGTTCCTATATTCCACGTGGCTATCTTAAACCTATAATCTTGAACTAGCTTTTTTATTCGGGCTCGTCTAGAAAAAATGCGAAAACCTTTGCCCATTTTTCACCGCACCCAAGTGTCAATACGGTGCCCCTTGCTCACTTTTCGAAACACCTGGAGGCAGACGGAACACGTCACTTAAGGGGAACAACCTAGCATTTAATCGATTCAAAGTATTAGGCTTCGTGTCATAAAGGATCTGAGCTGTTTTTTTATGTGTTGGCTGTCGGCTACCTAACACACAACCCTCTTTTACCCGAGCTTGGGACCGGTGGAGTTGTTAAGCAACCCCGGCAGAGTTATGTAAAGTGCTTAATAGTGGCCCCCCTAAAAAAAAAAAAGCATTTTGAAATTTTATACTTTACAAGAGAAATTATCAAAGCCTCTAAATTTGGATAACCTTATTTATTTTAATTGTTATGAAGCATGCAAAATTGATGAAAAAAATTGAATGCATTGAAAAAGCTTAAGACCTTCAATTGATTTATCTTGAATTTTGATTACCTAAAAAACTTATTGGTTGTATTGATCTAAGGGCCCGTTTGTTTTGGGTTAAGTAGATGGAAGGGGATTAGGATGGTGGAGGTGTTATTTAATGTTGTGTTCGTTTGTAGAGTTGAGGAAGGGATTAGGATGGTGGAGGTGATATAGATGGAGGTTGGGGAGGGTATTGAGATGGAGGTTAGGGAGATAGTATTAGAAAAATAGTGAGGGGATTAGAAATTTTTTTATTTTTTTTATTTGTTATATATTGGGAATTTTTTTTATAAATATTAATGTTTAATTTTTTATATTTTTTTATTTGTTTTATTATTTTATATAAAAATAATTTAACAATTCCTACACTAACAACTATCATCAAAACAAACACAATTTTACTTAATTCCCTCACTATCAATTCCCTTATTATTAATCCCCTCACTATGAATCCCTTCCGTTCTACCTCTGAAAACAAACGGGGCCTAAAAGAGTTGTTCACTGGATTTAACTAATAAACTTAATATTACTTGGGGGAAATCTATGCACATTGTAAGAAACTTATGACTTTTTGTGGTGAAAGTTACGAATATTTCTGGTGTGTTATGCCAATTTCTGGTAAAAGTTATGAATGACAAATGTATGGTTTGCACTCTAAAGTGAAAGCTATATTTTTGTGGTGAGAAAAGTTATGCCATTTTATAGTTTATGTTACACAATTATGTGATGTTATTATAAAGGGCCATAACATATGCACCCTTTTAGGGGTGCACATAGTAGCATCTCCCTATTAGTTGTGTTGTTTCATATCAATATAATTATATGTCTATAGGTTCATTAATATTTTCCTTTTCTGGCCGCCACAAACTCATCAGATGAATTTGTATTGCACATGCATGTATCTGCATCTGTACTTTTGCAGCGTAAGTTTTTATTTTCTTTGAATGCCATATTTTATTTATCATTCTCTTTTGATTAGAAAATTAAAATTATACCCATATGCATAGTTAAATGGACAACATACATTTTGCGTTCCATAAATGTTATCATTTTTGTTTATAAATGTCATACTTTGTATAGATTTGAAGGTTCAGTGTTATTCTTTTTATTTATTTTATTTGTTTATTTTCAATATAAAATACACGCTACAGCCCACAATGTACTTGAGCTCTAGGTTGAGATACAAATTAATGCACATCCCTTATTGCACTAGTGGTAGATGAAGTCATCGATCAGTTTAAATTAAATTTTTACCAATTACATTGTGTCATACATTTAGAAGTGAAGTCATTCTGTATTTGACCTTTTTCAGTTGGATTTTATCAACTTGCTTCTAGAATGCATGACCTATCTATGTGAGAGATGATGTCTGTTAATCATGATGAATGATACCACTAAAGTGTTAGGTTTGTCATTTACGAGTAAATTGTTCACTTTTCATTTAGTAAGTATAGATACTTAGTGAACCATTTTATCTTTGTATGGCTGTACTAATGGGAAGAAAAAGCTGAGACAAGAAGTTGGGAGGTAAAAATATGGAAGGATGTATGTCTCTTGTTGTCTTCTAAATTTGAATACACAAATCCTTTTTGAATTGTGATAAACTATTGATAGATTATTTGCATTCTAAGAGCCTTTGCTCTTATTTTCATACTAATTGCTTTTGGTATATGAGGCAACAAAGTTGGTGTTTGTGGCCTCTTTTTAAGAAAATGCAGCCTTATTGCCAGGGCAGTCCTGATTGCTGCTGGGGCAATTCAAGGAAAATTTTCTTGCAATAGGGGGCTCCCTTTCAGAAATGTGCACAGAACCAAAATACTCTCCTTGCTGGTTGCGAATTGTCGATACTCCTATTATTGAAATGATTTCTGTATATATGTGTGTGTACTTATATATTGTGTGTGTGTGCATAAAAGATAGATGATTGAGTTAGTGCACAATCATTTTGAACAGCTATAGACAGTTTCATTCATGTACCTCAGACAAATTCCATGCCATTTCATCACTAAAAATTGTCTCTATATTCATTCAGGTCAAGCCTTAACTGGAGGGAAAATGGCTCTTGATGTTTCGTATTTTGGGGTGAAAGTCCACTCGGAATCTCATAGTATTTGTGAGAAGACATCCTGCCCTATATCAGTTGGCAAATTTGTGCTCTCTCACACACAAACTTTACCAGGAATCACCCCGCCAGTAAGTAAAAATTATAATTGCATAAGGTAATTGCATAAAGCATACTCTTTTCTGTTTATTTTATGCTGCTGAGGTGATTCAATTGAACCAAGACGAACTCAAATGCTGATTATTTTGTATCAGTATTTTGCAAATGTCCAGTTTTCGGCCTTGCCCAGGTGTTTATGACTCACTTAAACTGCACTTTCCACCTTTTACATTGCCATTTGATATCTTCAGTCCAAACCAAATTGTTTCATGTTGATAAGAATTTTTTTTTTCTTGTATGATATATAATGTTAGGATCATATTTTATGATCGCTGATCCTTGCAATGAAGTAGCACGAAATGTTATGTTGTTGTAAATACATCCATTATGTAAAACAGGAGCCAGGCACCATTAGTCTTCTTTTTGCATTACATTAATTTAACATATATGGATGGCGGTATCTGTTTGCATGTGATTTAGTACATTTATCATGGCCTCCTTTGGTCCTTTGGAACTAGATTTCTGTAGCTGCCACAACTAGTGATTGTCTTGTATTGTACCCCATCTTTCCTGTGGTGATTGATCTATCAAAGACTCCCTTCTCTTGTTATGGTTTATCGGTCCCTTGTTCTAGTGGATAGAAGATTTCCATAATTTGGATTACTTACTGTGCCCCTTCATATTTATCTTCTATGCGCCATAAATCATAATTAGACACTTCAGGTGGCCACATTTGCTCTGCATCTTTCTTTTTCAAGAGCAAGTGTTCTTCTCATGTTGGCAGTTAAATTAAGGAATCCTGTGTCTTAGAGTTGTTTCTCGAATAACCAAAAATAATTATCTGTTTACCTTGGGGATGCAGTTTCACTCTGGTTTTGTCATGGTAATTTTAAATTGCAAGGAATGGATCCACAAGTTGCACATCTAATACATTTAGGATTTTTTTAGTTCTCTAAAATGATGGAGAAGGAAAAAAGAGAGGATAAATAAAGGGAAAATTGATTTGCTCATACTTGTTTTTTTTTCTTTGTATGAATAAAATTTCAAATTTTAAATTTCCATGAAATGGTTAGAAATCCAAGAAAACAAAAGGGAAAATGACATCTAAAATTAGTGAAAATTTCCTCACTTTTTCATCAAATTTTATCCTCCCTATTTCCCATGGTACCAAACAGAGGAAAATCACTATGTTTGCACTGTCTTTCCTTTCTGTACTATATTGAGGAACCCAAAAAAAATCATAACACACACTTTGACTAAATTTGTTCCCCTACACTTGTTGAATAGCTTGATATACATTGTTGGGCCTATTTCCTAACAATTTAAACTTTTGGGATAATTGGTGAATAACATGATATTATAGCTCAAGTTGGGAGAGGCCTTGGGTTCAAGTCTATTTGTTTGTATTTGGTCCCATTTTTCATCTTTTTTCTGTCATTTGCTTTTTTCCTTCTCTCTATGTATGAATGTTTGCATGTCCACGTGTAAGATGAGGTTGCACGTGAGGGAGGGTGTTGAATGGCTTGATATATATTGTTGGGCCCATTTCTTAACAATTTAAGCTTTTGGGATAATTGGTTACTTAGCAACACTAACTAAACATGTAATTCCATTTCTCAAGGAATAAGATCAAGTGATGTGAACGTACATGCACCAATTTGGCATGGGAATCTTAATTACAATTGTATAATTTTATGCCTTTTAATATTTTTATTTTTCTATTATAGTATCTTAATTATAGCTTAATTAGGATGATCTTATCAATATTTGGTTTCTTATTTTAGGGTTTTTGGTTTTCTATTTTGAATTAGGGTTTTGGCCTATAAATATTAGGTTGGCTTTGTAATGGTTAGCTTTGAATTAATGAGATATTAAGTATTATCCTGTGGCCATTTGTGTTAGGGCTGAGGCTCTCTTTGTCTTCTCTCTTTTCTCTTTCTCTTTCCGTCTTAACTTGACCGTCGGAGGAGTTTTACGACAACACACTGCCGAGTAGCTCACCACCATTATGTTCTCAGGTCAATCGGAGGGGTACTACATCATCAAGTTTATGCATGCATGCATATTGATGAAGGACAAGTTTAGGAATTTTAAGAATATAGGATTGGAATTCTAAAAGGGATAAGAGATGCTTTTTAGGGTTTACAAATGGGAAAGGGGTAAAATTGTTTCGATTTGTAGAGTATAGGTGATATAGGGCAGCTTTAAATACGTAAAATATGGCAGCCTTATGAATAGGTTTATGGTGGAAAATCATGAAAAAAAACTTATGGATTCATGGTTTTAATATAAAAAGGGTGTAGGGTTTGTAGGTCAGGTTGATGGATTTTCTAAAAATTTGTAGTTCGAGGGCTCTGAGACACACGCTCTAGCTAGTTAGCAAAGTGTTTTTTATAGCGTTATTCAAGATCCAAGAGGCTACAAGTATGCTGGAATACAGAGGTTTGCGAGCTTTTCAGGCGCCGCAATATGGAGAGTTTTTGGGGCTGTTTGGGATGTTTTGGGACTCTGAATAGCACCCTAAGAACAGTGCTTTGCTTTCTTGTGGATAGAAGAAGGGAAAAAACAAAAAAGACTGCTCAGTGCTAAGCAAAACACATGTATCATTTTTATTAGGTCTAAAAATGGTAAGTGTTAATTTTCAGGATCTTATGTCATATTTATTAGGTCAAAAATATTTCAATGAGTCAGAGTTCCTTAATTTCTTGATTTTGAGTCATGGTCCTGTAGGAAATAGGAAAAGACTAGCAACCTATAAATAGCTGCATAATTCTTCTATTTATGTAATCTTTATCTGCAATAAAAGTTGACTTTTGTAGAATTGTGGTATTGGTACACATGGAAATAACGAAATACCCTTGACTACTAAAACACAATTGAACATAGGTAAGTACATCCAACATTATATTAATCTATAGAAGACATTACAATAAGACTCAAGTAAACCCTAAAATTGATGACATTAGGTGTAAAGCATCACGTACACGTACATACATATGTTCCTCTTTTTTTTTCTTCCCATGCTCCGCATCACGTACATACATACATACTACAAATATCTGATATATGCATATCTGTTTGTTGTGTGGGCAAGATATCTATTATCTAATACATCACTTGCATATTTTGTTGCTTCATATAAATTGGCATGATCCTTAATTTTGTTATATGAAATTGAGAGAGATTGAGACTTATTTTTAGGTCCCTAGGTTTTACCTCAGAAATATTGATCTTGTAAAACCTTGTATTTTTGTTTCTCAATATTGAATGCGCATCAATCACCACTTTTATTGCAGTTTCTGAGACATAGGAATGTAACGCAAGTTCAGTTGTGGGGTGCTGTACTGCACATGCACACACAGTCGGTGCTACATTTAAAATTGGCTCTTTTCTTAGATTATTCTGAAGCCCCTAATCACTGAATTTCGCCTTTCCCCTACATGTATTATTATTATGCATAATGGGATGCAGATGCAGTTTTTAATTCACACGATCTTTTAGTTGTGGAAAATAAATTACAATACCAAATCAATCTCTATATCTTCCAAATCTTTCCAAAGCATGGAGTAACTCAAAACAAGACTGTTTTCTGAAGGTCATATCTTTTTCTAATGGTGTATCTTATTTATTGGTGTTATAGCTTCATTGATGAACTCCTGGAGTGCCCCCCTTGGAAACAGTAAATTGTTTTACAGGTGGTTTTGTCTACTTAGTATATTGTTTTAACCACTCACTAAAACAGTGACTGACTGTGGTTCCCTGTCTGTGTCTGTACTATCTTGCTTTTCTGTTGTGGAATCAATATGCATCAAATGTGCTAGCTTCCTGGGTTTGGGTTCAATTCCATTTTGTTTGTTTGTGTTGTGTGAATTGTCGGTGAGGGTAGTGGTGGTTGTTTGGCGTGGAAGGGGGGAAGGTGCCAATGTGATGCCCAATCTGTTGTAGATCCAAACAAGAGGTGACAATGGGGCTAGTTTGGTGTTGCACGGCGTGGGGGCATTGTTGTGGAGGGAGAGGATTGAGTGTTGTGAGACAGAGAGAGAGAGAGAGAGAGAGAGAGAGAGAGAGGGGGGGGGGGGGGTTTTGGAGATAAAAGAGAGGGAGAGACGAAGAGGCAGATGTAGGGGAAGGGTGCTTAGGTAAATTCAATTATTTGGGGAAGGGTAACTTGGTAAATGTGTTTACTCTGTTAATGGTGTTAACATTAGGGGGAGATCAGTGTAATTATATGAAAACTGTGGGGCTCATTGTATTTTTTTCAAATCTCAGGAAAGTCTGTGTAATTTATCCACTTTGTTTTGTGTAAATACTTCTTGTGGCGTGCAAGCATGCACTAGTGCACATACTTGCCTGTCAAGTTTCATTCAATTTTGTTGTGCTGTGACCATCAATTTGCTATTAATATTTCACTTTCGTCTATTCTCCTAATCTAGCATTTGAAATGTTCTCATCAGCCTAAAATGTAACCTTTTCAATCATCACAAGGCACAGAATTATCCTATAAAATGTTGATCCTTCTTGTATATAATTTGTGTAAGAGAGTTAATGTTTTACCATTTTCCTTCCTTAATTTGTACCCTTCTCTACGTGTGTGCGTGCAGACGTGCACATTTAAGCTGTGTTTGGATCATGGATTTGGAAATAGAAAGAGAAAGGAAAGGCAAGTTAAATGGAGAAAAAATTTAGCTTATATTTCATTTACATTTCTCTCATTTTTCCTTTCCCTTGTCAAATCCCTATCTAACTTCACGATCCAAAAACAGCCCTAGAGGGGTTTTGTGCGTGCACTTTTTTGCTGTGAGAATTGAGCGAGAAAATGAAACTTAGAAGCTGACATTTTCTTCTTAGTAATCTTTGTATTTAATTTCCAAAGATCCTAGTGAATTCTTATGCATAGGTAATCAGAACATAATATTTGGAATGTTCTTCTCTTTACTTCTATCTTGCATCAGCAATTCAACGTTGCAATTTGGTTTATTATTGTCATCTCATTTAACCCTAGAACATATACCCATTTTAACTCAGGTTATTTTTCAAAAATGACAAAGTGTTTGTTATGTTCAGGGCTCCTACACTCTTAAAATGAAGATGGAAGATGAGAAGAAACATCAGTTGACTTGCATTAGCTTCAACTTCAACATTGGGCTTGGTTCATCTGTGTCCTCCATTTGAGGATCTCGTAAGAATGCATCAAATATTATTTCATCTTGTGATGTTTGTAAGAAACTTTTCCATGAAAGTACAAGTTCTTGTCTACTGATGTGCTTCAATCTCTTCACATATTCCTCTTGTAGTAATGTAAGTATCCATGAAGAACATATGGTACACATGTTCTGTTCAGACTGTCGAGTTTAAGGAACAATGTGCTTGATTACCGAATAGCTCATCAAAATGTCGCAACATGCCATGTGTGACATTCACTTTCCTTGTTCATGTATCTGTTTGAACCCATTATGTGCTTTCTTCATCATATTATTGGCACCAATAATGTTTTCCTGGTGTTTTTGTTTTTGTGATAATAGGTAGGTAAAGAAAGGGAGACTTACGTATAGGTTTTAATAGGTGAATTTATTAATAACGTTTTGCAACAAACATTATTTAAAAACGTCACTAATTGTTAATTTCAGTGACAGTTTAGAAATTGTAATAAAAATGTCACTAAGTATAAGTTTTAATGACGGTTTAAAAAATTCTAAAAAAAATCATTAATTTTCAATTTTCAGCAGCAGTTTGAAAAATTCGTCTCAGAAAAACGTCATTAATTGAAAGTTTTAGTTATAATTTATAAAAATCGTAATAAAAAAATCACTAATTATTATCAATTTTTAATGAAATATGCAAAGAGCTATCATAAATAATTATTTTTAACGGCGATTTTATTAGGATTTACTTTTAATAATACTTGATGGGAATGAAGTTTAATTATTAAAATGTTGATAGTTTAGTCATAAAGAAACTCTGAAGCTATTATTCTTTACATGTATGATTGTAAAGATGATTAGTTGTTCAATCTTACCAGGATTTGAAAAATGAACCAAGTGATTTTTGCGTAGATATCGACTAGACTTCCCTGCGCAGTCTGTGCAGGATGGCACGGTTGATGGACAACTTTCTCAATGTTGTATTGATATGAGTTTGTACCATAATAACCTCTTACACAAGTGAGAGAGAAAAGGGCTTAATCCTTTTGTGTTTCCGTAAATAGCGGTTTGGTCCTTAAT